ACCAGAAAACCGGAAGTGGCACTGTAGCTCAAGTGGTAGAGCGCTCGCCTTGAGCTGAAGAGCTGAGGGACAGCGCCCAGGCCCAGAGTTCAAGCCCCCCAACCGACAAAAAAGAAAAAGAAAAAAAAAAAAAAGAACATAGGTATGCCCTGATTTGTTTAGGAGTAGAATGGGATGTTTTGAATATCTCTTAGGATCTCTACATGGACACCAATGATATAACCGGTGAACTCAAAACTTCTTTCCTACTACCTGTCCTCACATTTCAAAGCCACCACCAGCACCCTCCTCTTCTTCTTCTTCCTCTTCCTCCTCTTCTTCTTCTTTTTTTTTTTTTTTATTGCCAGTCCTGGGATCTGAACTCAGGGCTTGGGTCCTGGGCTTGGGTACTGTCCTTGAGCATCTTTTGCTCTAGATTAACACTCTGTCACTTGAGCCACAGTGCCACTTCTGGCTTTTTCCTGTGGTATGGAGGAATTGAACCCAGGGCTTCAGTGCTAAGCAAGCACTCTACTACTAAGACACATGCCAGCCCCTAGTTATTTTTCAGATGGTGTCCTGAATTTATGCCTAGGCTAGCTTGGACTATGATTCTCCTATTTATGCCTCCCATATAGATGACATGTGTGGGCTACACCAAGCTCTGTGTGTGTATGTGTATGCGCGCATGCGTGTGCACTCTACCACTTGAATCACAGCTCCACTTCTGGCCTTTTGGTGGTTAATTGGAGACAAGAGTCTCGAAGACTTTCTTGCCTGGGCTGGCTTTAAACCTTGAACCTCAGATCTCAGTCTCCTGAGTAGCTAAAATTACAGGCATGAGCCACCAGCGTGCCCAGCCTTTTTTTCTTCTTCTTCTTTCATTGTTTGGAGTCTCGTGTCCTTTTATGTATGGGCTTTGAACAGTAATCCTCCTGATCTCTGCCTCCCAAGTAGCTAGGATTATAGGCTACTTTGCTGGCTGTAAAGAGTTTTTCCACATTCCTAACACCTTTTGTCTTCTCTTCTGTACCCTTTCCAATGATTTTTAGGGCCTTAAACTTTGGTATTGAATACTACTGGGACCAGCTGAATGAGACTGTGTTCACCGTCCATTCCAGCAGCAGGAGCAGCGAGCGGCCTGGGTAAGCTGAAGTAGGAGAGCAGCATCTGGCTACAGGCCTGCTCCTTCTTTCTTCTTTTGATGGGCTCTGGGTCCTTCCTCAAGCAGCTCTCCACTGAATCACTGCATGTCTGGAGGCTTTTGCCTACAGTCTCATTTGAGAAAAATGTTTTATATAGGAAAGAGGACAAAACTAATGCTCTCAGTCTCAGTATATGTCTGGCCTCCTTCCTTCCTGGTGTAATCAACATACTTGGGGTGAGGAAAAAAAGGGTTGTGGAAAAAAGTCCTGCCCCATGAAGTCTGCTGTGACCTGTGGAGAAAGCATAGTGGTCAGAGGAGGGATAACTAGAGAGTCCCAGGGACAAAGAAATGCTGAGTTAGCAGTATGCTCAAGGCTATCTCTGCCTCCTATAGAAAGTGCAGAGCGTGGTTGGAGAAAGTCTCAGAAGTAGCTAGAAATGAATGTCTAGTGATAATCTCAAAAGGCTGCTGCTTCCTTTGCTGACAGCTCCAGGAACACCAGAGGCATTTCTGACAAGTGCTTTAAAGAAAGGAGGGGACTAGCCCTGGACCTGGCCTTCCTTATAGGATAGCTTGGCTTCCTACCTGCAAAGCTGTGGTTTCAGAAGAACCTAAGAGCAAGACTCTAGAACAACTTCATAGAGTTCCAGCACTTTCCTTCTTGTAAAGTAGAGAGATCTTAATCTTAATAAGTCTTAGAATTTAAACTGGAGTCTTGTCAGCTTGTAATTAGAAGGAACATAAAGCTAAAGAGAGAGAGAAAAAAAAAAAACTTTCCCTGCCTACAAATCACTGTAGCTTCTTGAACCTTTTTGTTTTCTTTTTGGTCAGTCATGAGGCTTGATCTCAGGGCCTGGGCATTGTTGCTGACCTTTTGTGCTCAAGGCTAGCACTCTACC